GAGTTGTCGCCAGGTGCATTCTTCCTCGTTGATCTTCCCTCCAGCATCTTCCTTGCAGATCTTCCCTCCGGGCATCTTCCTCGCAGATCTTCCTCACATATCCAAAACCTCGCATCTTCTCGCGGAAACGTCCAGAAGAGCTGTCGTCAGCTGCATTCTTCCTCGTCGATCTTCCCTCCGGGCATCTTCCTCGCATGTCTTCCTCACAGATCCAAAAGCCCACATCTTCGCCGGAATCGTCCAGAAGTTCCGCTACTCTCGCGATCTGTATGTTCTCTAATTTCTACTATTTTTTTAGGTTCGTAATTTGGCAGATTTTGTTTATTCAAAGTTATAGAATTAGTTTCTAGTTACAGATTATGTTGATTGTAAATCTCTAAGTCTTTTGTTACATCTTGAATTCTCTCTTCTTAAGCTTGTTTCTAGTTACAGTTGATCCAGTCTAGGTTTTTGTAAAAGAATTTCTATTGTAATGCTTTTGAACGGAGTAAGCAGTGGTCTTAAAAATTCATTTTTCAGGTTATGTGTTGTTTATTTTAGACGTTTATTCCTAAATTTGTTTGTCTTTGTTGACAGATTGTTATAACATTTCAAATGAGTTCTATGAATTCGTCTGCCACGAGGCACACACGATCTGAAGTTTATTGTTATTGTCGGCTGAATTGTGTCTTGTATACATGCCACCGTGATCCTAATAGTGGAAGACAATTTTATAGGTGCATGAATAATCGAACTGGTGACGACTGCAGATACTTTAGATGGATAGATGAAGTAGAAGATGCATATTTTGGTACAGATGATGAACGCAAAGGCTTTGAGGCAAAAGTTATTAAGAGGTTTGACTCTATCAGATATTTGATGAAAGTCTTCATTGTAATTGTTCTTGTTGATGTAGCCATCTGTTTGGGTTTGTAATGTGTTTTGTTGGGATGGGTTGAATGCTAAGTAGTATCAACACCGGTTATTTTAAGTTTTGTTTTGTCGTCAATGTTAGTTCCTTGAATTGTTGTGTTGATCAAGTGTATGTTGTTTGCTTATCCAAATTAATGTAAAAAATTACTAAATTATGTTCATTAAGATCAGTCAAACAACTTTTTTTCATTTTAGAATTTGTTTGGCAACTTCCACATTTTAGAATTTGTTTGGCAACTTCCACATTGAAATCAGCAAGCTGCAGGAAAGCAAGCCACGAGCTTGCTCTCTTGCTCTCTTTCCCTCCAAAGCTTCATATAAGGTAGTGATAAACCAAATTCCTACTCTAAACCACTATTTATTTCTTTTGGTGGAATATCAGGATACCTCTTCACCATCTCCTGAATTTGATTAGAAACCCATGTAGATGTAGCTAGCCGATTTCCAGCATGATTTATCCCAGGGCATGTGTGTTCTCCATCAACTCTCCTAACTTGAAAAGATTGAGTGTCTTCACATAGGGATGCCTGAATTCGTCATTGACAACCTTGATAGGAACAAGTTGCAATAACTCGTTTCTTATCACTGGCTTTTATTCTCACCCCAAAGTTCTCCCTAATAGTAAATGATCGGAGTGCATTTTTGAAACTTGTAGCATCATTAAAAAATGTACCTATAGTGATATCTGTAACACTAGATTTTTTAAATCTCGAAGCACCATCGTTCTGAGAAATGAACCCATCTATTATTTGCTCAAAATTCTCAGTCCCCATAATCTGTGAGTTTGATTGATCTTCATCAACTTCGTACAATGAGATAACTATTTCGGCACATGAATATTCATTCATTTAGTTTACCAACATGCTCACGTCATCATCATAATTGATTACTTTGTACTCCTTGGGAGATGTTCCATTAATGTGATAATGCATGTTCTATTGATGTCCATTCAACCAAGTACATATTCTAGCAATTTCTGTTCTAATCTTGAAAATATTTATATGTCTTTTCTCAAGTTTCACATTCCTTTGTTTGTCGCCAATATATCTCTTTCTAGATTAGTCCTTTGTGTCAACCCAAATTCCTCCAAATTTAAATGCAATAAACAAATGCTCTTTTTTATCTCCACATAAATCATCTATTACTTCGTCACAACAATCATGCATTGTCGAATTATGTCACGAGGTTGACATTTTTCATTAACTTCAAGCTGAAATAAGATGACAAAACAAAATCCATTAAACCATAAATATTGTAAGGAGAACATAAAATGTTTTAGGTTGAACTCATTACTTCAATAAAACCACAAAACTCACACAGAAAAATAAACCCATAAAACCATTGCTACGGTTATTTCAATAAAGGGATCCCTTCAATAAAACCATAAAAGTTTTCTGTGAAAAGCACAGGCGGGAATAAGAATGCAGAAAAAGATTAAGATGGCAGGAAAAGCACACCGGGAAAAGCACATCGATTCTCCGTGAAGAGCAGAGGCGGGAATAAAGTTTGCGAGCAGCAAAGTTGGAAGAGCTGAAGCCGGGATACAGAAGGTTTCGCTAAAACCTCTGTTCTCCCGCGAAAATCACAGGCGGGAAGGAAAAAAAAAAAGAGTGAGGTTGCTGTTAACGGAGTGGTAATTTTGTTGTAAAAATAGAGAATAGGTGGTAGGAGTGTAATATTTAAGAATTAGATGTTAAATATGTAATATATAAGAAATAAAGTGGTATGTATGTAAAAATCCCATCATTTTTTTCTATTATATTCTAGTAAGAAAGAATCGAAATACCAGAAACCACATCTTTGAACGAAATAGGAGCCGCTATTCCGCTCAGGAAACCAGGATCGCGAATACGAGAAGCCGCCATAAGAGCAAAGATGAGAAAAAAAGGACTCTCACCAGACGAAAAAGGAGCAGAGACGGCGGCTGAGAAGAAAGATCGGAAACCCTAGCAGAGCCATTCGTGAGAAATGATACTCCTTTTACTTCAAATCATACTAATTTTGATGTTGAGATTAATTTTGATGTCAATAATGAAGTGAAAGCAATAAAGCATGAAACTTATATAGGCTTTGTTTGGGACAACTTTCTTATTACTTTTTAAAGCGATTTTTTGGTAAAAAAATTTCTTGAATTAGAAATTTTTGTACTAAAAAGTTGTTTTAGAAAGCACAAAAAAAAAATTGTTCCTAAAAAAGACTTATTCTATGATGAGTTTCTCCTTAAAAATTTATTAATGTCTCTATTATGTTATTATCCAAGAATAATTGAAGATTTTTATAATGAATGTTATGAGTTCTACAAACATTCTATAAGGATTCTTTGAAATTTTCTTATTCTCTTATGTTTATTATTTATTGATGTCAAAACTTCTAGAATGTAACATGTAATTGTTTGTTTTGATAGTTTTTTCATTATTTTTTATTAGTTATTATGAAATAGATTTAAGTAATATTTGAAATATTTATGTACATGTACAAACAAATAAAATATTTGGTAAATACACAATATTGTGCGTACAAATAAATCAAAATATTTTATGTGATATATTAATTAGAGTTCTGCATTTTTTGCTTACAAATGGTGCTTGCTTTCAACGTTTTACGTCTTAGTTTTTTAATCCTTTTACTTTTCTTCAAAGAAAAAAAATCTAATCTCCGAGGGAAGGAAACTTATGAAGGGGGTTGTGACTTGACTTTAACGATAAAGGTGTGAAGAAATGAAATATGTTGCATCTTCATAAGCGCCAAGGAATGGTCCACATACACTTACAACCTTGTTACCATTGATTTGATAACTAACCAATAATTAATCTTAATATTGACTCTTAAAATTTTATAGGCCTGGTTAAAATATCAATGTCCAATTATAGGCATTTTATGAGTTGAACTTGGTGCTTCAAAACGAAGGAAGCGAAGTACTGATAAAATGCAATTTGGGTTGTTATTTAAGATAATGGCTCTTAATATCTTTTATGGTATTGAGCTATGCTCCTAATGAAACTTGAGTTGGAGTACTACTTATTGAATGCAACCAATTGACTTTAGTCAGTAGGCCTCAAATTGCAACATGTCTCCCTAAATAGTATGAGTTTGACCTTATGCAAACAACTTTACTATTATATGGTATACTTAAAGGATGAGTTTAATAGTGTTCATCAAAATTCAATCAAAGATGATGTTGTACGACGTTTGGAACTTAGCTATAATGAAGTTAATCATTGAAGTATACTGTCGAT